ATTTTCATTTAAACACTTAGAGAAATTTTCAGCAGTTTTGGTCAGGTTTTAATCCCAACTTCTTGCCCATTTTTCATCAAGTTCCAGTTTGATTTAACAAAAGTGGCCAACATGAAAGTTATAGAGGGTGTTTCAATCTTTCTAAAACATCCAAGAGCGTGAATTTATCTTATTTGAGTTAGGAGATACAAGGATCTGAAGTTGGACATTCATTCTTGATTTACAAGGCAGATTTGTGATGAACAAGGAACAATAATCTTAACCCATGCTGCATAATCTCCAATTTGCAGGCCTTGTGACTTGCAACTCTTACCATAATTTAATGCTTACACAAACTTTTGAGCTATGGTCCATTGGGTTTAAGCATTATTCAAGTGATCTTTCTATTTTTGGCGCAAAGGCACCATTGTCATTCTTGTAAAGTTCACTTTAATCATAAAGTCAATTTCTTGAGCCTCTAACTTGTTGTTCTAATCACACACAAATCAGAAGGGCATGCTTAAAGTGTCCAACATCTCTATGCAACAAAGTACAAAGCATTGGAACTACAATCTTCAAGCTTGCTTGATGTATAATCTAACCTAGCCATAACATGTGATTAAAAATCTGAGTTTTCAAATCTCAAACCTTCTCTATAAATAGAGAGGCCAGTTGCAAGAGAAAGAGGTTGAAAAAACAGGTTGGGAAAGAGGTTAGAAAAAATAGAGAGAAAGAACAAGGAGAAAAGCCAGGAGTTATATTGATAAACCTTCAAAAAAGCCATAATAGACCCTAAGACTTCCACTCTTGAGTTTTGAAGTCTAAACCTTAAAACCTCTCACACTTTGCATATTCCATCTAAAAACCATCCAAACATTTCATACCACACAGAGGTTGTTTAGTAACCTTCAACAAAAAGAAAGTCTAACAGCCTGTTGGAGCTTCCTTAAGGTTCATACAACATCTTGAAGAGTATTTGGATTCAAAACCTAAAGTGCAGTTTTAAGGTAAGTCATCTTTACCTTTCCTTTTCCATACATCAACTTTTCTGTTTATAGGATGTAACAATCTCTATTTTGAAGTTAATCATTTTTCATGTTATTCATTTATATGTTAAAAACTAACTGATGTATGCAAAGAATGGTGTTTAAGGAAGAAAAATACAGGGTATGAGTCGACACATGACCCTCATGCATCGACCCATACTGAGTTCAGGTCACAAAATAGAAACTGGAAAGGACTATGAGTCGACACATATGCATTTCGCGTCGATGCAAAAAGGTGTATGAGTCGATACATCCCATTATGTGTGAACTCATACTGAATAGATTTCACTAAACAGAAGCTGGAAAGGCCTATGAGTCGATACATACGCGTTTCGCATCGATGCAAAAGGCGTATGAGTCGATACATCCCATTATGTGTCGACTCATACTGAACAGATTTCACTTTATAGGGGCAAGGAGAAGCTATGTGTCGATGCATAGCAGCATGGGTCGACACATAGCAGTTCAAAAATGCATTTTTCCTTTATTCTACACTATTTTCACATTCTTTTCATTATCATTCAATGTGGTTGTAATATTTTAGTTCCTACTTCATCCCTATTGTTAAATTGTATCCCCACCCCCCTAAAGTGATGTAATAGCTTAGATTTTATCTTCCGCATTTTTACTTGCTTTTCATATATTGCTAGTAAATTAGATATATGGCAAGATGAAACCAACAAATAGGCCACCCTAATCAAAGACTAAATGCATGCAAATCAAACACATTATTCACACATGCACCTCTAGGGTAATTCCACTTGTTTTCTATCGAAAAATAGTCATGACCCTCGAGCGTGGGTGTTTTAGCAAAGACCCTCGATAAAAGATCATAGTCCCTCGATGACCCTCGATGTTGCCTTCGGTAAACGATCTAGTCCCTAAAACGACATTGCTAAAACATCCCATATGTTGCCTTCTATGACTATGCAAACGTCCCAACGCCCGTCCCTTCACATCCAACAATGGGGCTTCTTACCAAATCAATGGTAAAGATAGCCACATCTAAAGGAGGAGGAAAAGCACATTTAAGACCTTTCGAGTAGGTATATTTGCTCCTAGTTACTCGCTTTCTCACAACAAAAACATTTTTACCCACACTCTCATCTTTGAACTATTTTCGAAACAAACACTTTGTAGGCGTTCTTATAGAAATGAGAACCGTTACGAAGTTCCATTTTCAAAATACTTTCAAAAACACATATCACAAACACACTTTTGAACTATTTTTGAAACAAATACTTTGTAGGCGTTCTTATAGAAACGAGAATCATTACGAAGTTCCATTTTCAAAATACTTTCAAAAATCACCACCACAAGCACACATTCAAACAAAAGCAAGTGATCTAGCAAGTAACTAAGAGCCCATGGAAAACCATGGATGAAAAGGGTGCTAGCACCTTCCCTTTTCATAATCTACCTCCGAACTCAAGAAAACATCTCAAAGGTCTTTCCTGTGCTTTTTCACCTTTCCTTTTGGATAAAAGAAAAGTCGGTGGCGACTCTTGCTAAACCGCAAAATTTGCGAACACAAACGCAAAAACCTCAAGTCAGTTCTCCCACCGTATCACAATAATATATTTACTAGGGGGCATTTCATAACCGGATGAAACAACCACCCCAATGGTAAACAAGCGCGTGCATGATATAAGAGATCTGGGTTCGAGCCCCAGTGATACCCTTTTGTTTTTTCCCCACATATTTCTTGCAGATTTAGTACATTAAGCTCACGCAAGTGCATGATGTACCTCACTTCCTCACCACGTGATCATCACACAGCCATAATCAAATGCTCTAGAAGGCAAGCACATGATGCACTTCTTGGAGGTGGCCACACTAAATCTAATACAGTGTCCGAGCTCCTTGTTTTGGGCCCATCGTTTTTACTTCTTCTCACCCTCATAATTTCTTGTTACAACATCAAGTCCATTACTTTTTTATTTTATTTTCATTTTCTCTTTCAAACAAAAATCTATTTTTGGGCCTAACATTTCATTTTTCTTTTCATCACCCCCCTGATTTCTTTTACTGACCCATTTATTTTTTTTTTATTATTTTATTTATTTATTTTAATTAATTTCATTTAAATCATAAAAAAATTTAGAATCAAATTTTATTATTTATTTTACACTATTTTTCTAAATAAAATATCAAAATATTTTTTAAAACAATTATTTTCTATTTTAAAATTAAATTAGACTTAAATTTTGTTTATTTGATTTTTCCGTTCTTTTAATTAAATTAATTCAACATAGATTCCCAGCTTTTAATTAATTAAAATTAACATAGTTTTTTTTGGTTTTGTGTAATTAACTAATTAAAATTCTCTTTTTAATTAAAACTAATTAATTTTTTTTTAGGTTAATCATCAAACTTCTTTTATCAAAAAATCACAAAAAATATTTTCCTTTCTCCCTTCTCCACTTTACATTTTTTTTACACATTTCATTATCTCGCATTATTATTATTTATGAAAATAATCTGTAATAGATAATTAGAGTTTATCACTTTCCTCCCCATTCACAAATTTGTATCCCTCATTCCCAAAGCATTGTAATAGCGTAGGATATTTAATTTCTGTAATTTATCGTTTTCCATATTTCTGTTAGTAATTAGGATTTGTATGACAAGATAAAAATCAATCATAGCAAAACCCTAATTCAAGATAAAATAATTGAATCAAACACATTTTGCACACTTACACCTCTAGGGTAACCTCACTTTTCATTCGGATGAAACAATCACGTCCCTCGAACATGAGATACTTTAGCAAAGACCTTCGGTTAAAAGATCGTAGTCCCTCGATGACCATTCGATGCTGCCTTCGGTAAATGATCTTAGTCCTTTACGACAATTACTAAAGCGTCTTACAAGTTGCCTTTTATGACTGTACGATGACCCACGCCTGTCCCTCACATCCAATGATAAGGCTTCCTACTAACTAATGGTAAGATAACACTGTCTAAAGGAGGAGGAAAAGAATAAAGACTTTTGAGTAAGTAGATAGCTCGTAATCACTTGCTCACAAACTAAAACTATTCTCACACCTCACACTTTCAAAAACAACTACTTTCAAAACGCTTTATAAACACTTTTGAAGATTGATACAAGAGTTATTATAAAACAAATTGTTTTACATTGGCATTTTCAAAACATTTATCACAAAATAAAACTTTCTTTCAAAATATTTTCAAAACAAACGTTTTGTATACATTCTCAACGATACGAGAATCATTACAACATTGGCGCACTTAGGCATTTTTAAAATATTTTCAAACATACACAAACACAAATCATTTCAAAAGTGAGCTAGAAATTAAGAACCCGTAGATAACTACAGGTGCTAACACCTTCTATTTTCATAACCTATCCCCATTACTCAGAAAATTCTCAAAGGTCTTTCTTGTTCTTTTCACCCTTTCCTATATTGGATAAAAGAAAAATCGGTGACAGCTCTTGCTATCCGCAACATTTGCGACAAAACGCAAAACCTAAATAGTCAGTTCTTCCACCGTATTACAAGTATTCTTTATCCCTCATAATTTATTGAGTGAAAGTTATTAAACGATCCTATATGCAGAAGTGAATTGGACCCTATTTAACCATTGTACCAGTCTAAAACAACAATTTTACTCATATAATTAAATTAGATTTAACAGCGTATATATAATTATTAGATACTTTACTTTTATATATTTATAATAGAAATATTGATTTCCTAAATTAATAAAAAGACTTAGAAACTTGCATATATGGTTAAATTCCAACCAATTATCTTTTAAAATTTTCATCCGGACTTTAATTATTTTGTGCGGACCCGAAATAGTTGCAACTTGTAGTTGAAGGTCGCAATAAATTGGAAATTGGAATTGGAACCATCGTCATTTCAAACCTTCCTCTCTCTTTCGTTATTCTCGAAAAGCTTTCACAACCAAAAGTTAGAGAAAAAGAAAGCATCCAACAACGGAGAGAATAATGAAGCCATCCATGCTCAGATCCATCCACTCCGCCGTCTCCCGCAGCCGCTCCCAGCTACTCCGCCGTGGCTACGCTACCGAACCCGTTCCAGAACGCAAGGTCGCCATTCTCGGCGCTGCCGGCGGGATCGGTCAGCCCCTCTCCCTTCTGATGAAGCTTAATCCTCTCGTTTCAACCCTATCTCTTTACGATATCGCTGGAACTCCTGGTGTTGCCGCCGATGTTAGCCACATCAACTCCAGATCTGAGGTACCGTACAGTTTCTACCTATATTCAATCGGTTTTGATGGTTTTCTACGTATAACTCCAGATCTGATGCAATCTCTATTTTCTATGTCACTGTTGATTCTACTGTTGTATCTTCTGCAGTTGCATGCTGATTTTACTGTAGTGTAATGTTGTTGGACTATGAATTGAGGTGTTTTTGTTTCCTTTTTGGTTTTGATTGCAGGTTGCTGGGTTTGCTGGTGAGGAAGAGCTTGGTAAAGCTTTGGAGGGTGCTGATGTTGTTATAATTCCTGCTGGTGTGCCAAGAAAGCCTGGAATGACTCGTGATGATCTTTTCAACATTAATGCTGGCATTGTCAAGTCGCTTGCCACTGCTATTTCTAAGTATTGCCCCCATGTGAGTGTCTGTTTTCCTTGAGTTGCTTTTTGTTGTTCAAGTTTTTAGTGTTTCGCTTTGTTTTCTATGTGAAAACATGTATACTAGCTTCGGCCAATGAGAGAATTTCATTTCAATCGGTGTTGTGCAATAATCAGTTAATTTTCTTTTAGTTAAATTATCGCGTGTGTTTAGTTTTGCGGTGTCTGAAATTGATTCTAAATGAATTGATTCTGGAAAATTGATTTAGGTAAAGTGATTTATACATTCATGCAAAAGTGAGTTGAAAAGTAAATTTCTTTATAAAAATCATGTTTAGACTCTTAAGCTACAAATCTTAGCTTTAAATAGAATCAATATTGAAAGGCATAATCAATTCTACTTTTGATGAAGCTAAAACTTCACAATCAATTATACACCTCTAGAATTACTTTTACCTCTTCCAAAATTAAAACAAAACATACACTTACTCTTATATTTGGTAGTCTATTTCTCTAATCAACATATTATGGGCATTGCATTGATTTTGAAATTTAATTTGATGATCAATAATCGTTAGAATTGATTGGCATATTGTTTTTTTATATCAATTGAAAGTATAGGATTTATAAGTTGGAAATTTGGAGACCAATTTAGTATATTTAATAAATTGAAATGAGTAAAAAAAATACACCTCCTGTTCATATTAAGCATTGTGGGATTTTAGTTTTACAATCATATAGTATAATTTTTATTTGATACTGACTATTTTTACATTCTGATCAGGCCCTTGTTAACATGATCAGCAACCCTGTGAACTCCACAGTTCCCATTGCTGCAGAGGTTTTCAAGAAGGCAGGGACATATGACGAAAAGAGATTGTTTGGGGTTACAACCCTTGACGTGGTTAGGGCAAAAACTTTCTATGCTGGGAAAGCTAGAGTTCCAGTTGCCGGTATGTAAAGTGTAACTGTCTCACAATTAGATTAGTATCTTACTCTGTTCTTTTCTCTTTCAGTTTTCATTAAGTTGAAAACAAATGAGGATTAGATTATTGCGTCTTATTTAAACTTCAAATTTTTGCGAAGAAAGTCCAACATAATAATAAAAGTTTTTCTCGAAGAGGGTAGTGGATGGGGGAAAAGATTGATTTTGCATTTCTTTATACTGCAGATCAATTTGCTTTTAGTTGTACATAACATTTGATTTTTTTTTTCTGCAGATGTCAATGTACCTGTTATAGGAGGCCATGCAGGAGTTACTATTCTTCCACTATTTTCTCAGGTAATTCCCTGCTTCTTTAGCATGACATTTTCATAATGCTAACATGTATTTTGGCTTCCTAGCGTTGGTATGCTTGATATGTATGTGATCTATTAACTGTTTTCCCCTTGTATAGGCAACACCTTCTGCCAATCTGGATGCTGATGTCATTGAGGCTCTAACAAGGAGGACACAAGATGGAGGAACAGAAGTTGTAACTGCCAAGGCTGGAAAGGGTTCTGCAACTTTGTCGATGGCGTAAGTCTTGGTTTAGTCATGTACACATTATTGTCATTCTCTAGAAACATAGTTTATTCAATGGTAAATCTTGGTTGTAATTCTGCAATACAAGGATTATGATTCCTTGGTGAGTTTTCATATGATTCATATGTAAAGCATTTGCATGTTTCTTGCAGTTATGCTGGAGCCATTTTTGCTGATGCTTGCCTCAAAGGTCTTAACGGAGTTCCAGATGTTGTCGAGTGCTCATATGTGCAATCTAATATCATCAGTGAACTTCCTTTCTTTGCTTCCAAGGTGATCTAAACTGCAACAAACCGTACTCTTTTATGTTTTGTTGTTTGCCTATGCATAGACCCATTTTCTTTTAACCTGTGTTCATAGAGATGCCGATTTGTGTTCACCATTTACTTTTTGCATTGATTAAAAAAATATTGAAATATTTTACAGGTGAGGATTGGGAAGAATGGTGTTGAGGAAATTCTGGGCTTAGGTACTCTCTCAGATTTCGAGCAAGAAGGTCTCGAAAAACTCAAATCTGAACTCAAATCATCTATTGAAAAGGGAATCAAATTTGCCTCCCAGTAATCAAACATGTCATACATTTCCAGCCGGTTGCTGGTTTTTTCCTCTCATTTAAAACCAATCAAATTTTGCAAATTCTGAATTGTTTGTACTGCTGCTGGCGTAGGCGGTAGCTTTGTTGTTTTGTTTATAGAGCAGGTATACTTTTAGATAAATAATTAAATCTGCTAGAGCGGTTTATTGCTCTGCAGGAATTGAAGTTAAAACCAGTTTTAGATTTTGGCGTTTCCATTCATAATGGCCCTTCTTCACCAATGTATGGCCTTTCCATTCATAATGTATGCAATTGAAGAGTGATGCACCTTTTTTTTTCCCATTTAGTTTTCTTTCTAGTATTGATCACCCAAGATGTTTTGCTAGGCTTTTTAAAGCTCATACTTGTTTCTTTTCTTCATCTATATACATATTTATTAGGGAAGGTGGATTTGATTGAGATTTGGTTGAGATAAAAAATTACCTGTCTTAATATCATACAATCTACTTGATATCAAGGATTGGCTTAGGGGAAGAAAACTACGGAACTGTTTGAGTTTATAGCTTAATGTCTTAGGGTTTACAAGTTCATATAGTTCAAGTTTTAAAAAAATTTGTTTCTCAATTTTACCTTGGTTATCTTAATTAAAAAAGGTTTATAAGTTCATATTTTTTATGAGCTTATAATTTATTTTTATTAGTTAACAGCTGTTGTTGATAAGCCAATTAAAGTAGTTTATAACTTAAAGCTTACAAATAGTATTTTCATCTCAATTTTACATGAATTAAATCTATTTTTTATGTCATTTAATATTTGTAATTAAATTTAACTAAATTTTTTATTAAATATTATAAGTTCAATTAACTAACTGATATAAAAATGCTATTGTTGGGATCTAGTGGTGCATTTTCCATGATACCATTCTTTATCTCGCTTAGTAAATCGAGATAAAATTTCTTTACTAATCGAGATAAAATCACTTGTTCATATTAGTGAACCAACGGTAATAGTTGTTTTTGCAGAATCCAACAAACTAAGGTAAAATTTCTTTTTTAATCGAGGCAAAATCATTTATTTGTAGTAGTGAACCCACAATAATAGTCGTTTTCTGCATAATCCAACAAAAAAGGAAACAAGGGAATACATAGATTAAAGAAAAAGGAAACAAGGGAATACATGAACTAATTCACCGAGGTAGCCGTAGAGGTAAGACGAACGAATGATAGATTGAAGTGTTGAATATTCAAGAAAGGACTGAGGATAAACTATATGTTTAACAGAGTATAACATAGGGTTAGAAGGGGCCTGGAGCTTGAACAATCTCTTGACTACGGTCCAACCCTATATCAACTATGAAAAGCAACTCCTAACTTAAGAAGAGGAAACAAGTCTAGGATCAAGAAATAATGAATATCCAATCAACAAAGACAAACCTCTGTTGATGCTAGGACAATGGAGACCAAAGACTGCAAGTTAGATTCTTATCTTGTACTCCTCTAATCACGTCAAGGGAAAATATTTTGTAGGAGTGTGCTAACACCGACTTCAAGGAAGTTAGGATAAGAAACTCTTACCCAATAAAGGAATTGACTAGGATTAATAAGACAAAGTTCAGCCGTTTCCACAAGATGCAATTGAGGAGCTAATTAAGAAGGGGGTTGACCCAATATACCCAAGAGGACGATCAGAAATATGACCGTGGAATAAGGAAATAATACAAAAGGCGAGACAAATCACCAAGAAAAAGAGACCCTTTTGCCGAGAGAAGGCGTGCCCGAAGAAGACAATCAAATATGTAATTGAGACCAAAGGAAGGAAGGACACCAATGATGAAGGAAAAAAAGACTAGAGAGGAAAATGTCAATATAACATCCATTACGCGAGGTATGCCATAACCAAAGAAACCTTCCAAAAGGAGAATCAAAAGAAGGATTACCTAGCTAATGACAGTTAGTAAAGAGGGAGGAATGGCCTATGAGAGGAAATCAGAAGGACCCATTCTTGAATTAAGTGATTATGAGATGATGGGTGGTATCCCAATGAAAAATTTCCTTTGGTGATAATGGAAGTTATAGACAACTTCAACATGTAAATAATTCTTGTTGACGTGGGAAGCTTATGCGATATCATGTATACTGAACTCTTTGAGAAGTTTGGGATGAAAAGAGACATGTTGTTACCTTATGCAAGCCCTAACTTGCAAGCCTTTAATGACATAGTGGCATGCCCTTGGGATATATAGAGATGATGGTTAGTCTTGAAGAAGGGAGAAACACTGGAATGATAGACCTACAAATAATGGTAATCCCGTGCAAGCAAGTTTATAACTAAATTTTGGACAGATCATTCGCCATGGTGATTGACACAGTGGCCTCCTCGGTCCATCTAAATATGAATGACCACAATGTCTAAGACAAACCAATGGCAATATATATAGATCTGTCTGGAGCACGAGGAATACACAAGGCCCTTTAACATAACATGGATGCGACGCTGGTTGGAAAGGGGAAAGAAAATGCGATAGAAGTTAACATGGGCTACCTTAGCAATACCTTAGGGAAGATGGCAATCATCCACCAAAATAGAAGACCAGTGTCTCAAATAGTTACAACATGAATCGTTTTAACTTGGTGAGTGCAAGTGACAACAACCAGAGAATAATCAAGGTTCTATCTCTGCGAAATAAGCAAGTCACAACACTGTCATAACATGAAGTCCATAACGACAAGCCAAACCAGGACCCCCTGGATTAATCAATAATGACTAGAACGCCTTGGTTAAGTATTTTCAAACATGCATGAAAAAACCTAAGTTATCATGCAATGTTTGTTGACCAAGTGTCTCCAAACACAAGGGGGGATTATGATATTACGAAATTGAGAGTATTTTAAAAATCCTTTATTAAAAATCAATTTATGTTAGTTTAACAAAGATAAAGTAGTGGAGAAGAAGAAAAATAAGGAATTAGAGAGGAAGGAAAAATAAATAACAGAATGTAAAGAGATAAAGTTAGAGAGATTGCACCAAAGATTTAGATAGGCTTGGCCTACCACTTGGTCTATTCTTGTTCCCAAGAGTTTTCTCTTGAGAGATATACTAATAATGAGTCTTGAGATTTTAAGGGTATGCTCACAAACTTTCTTACAAAAAAAAGAAGAGATATTTACACAGGCTTATCCCCAAATCAAACAGAGCTTTTAATAGGATAAACTCACTAATCAAACAAAGATTTTAACCAGCTGATCTCAAGAACCAATAAGACATTTTCATAGGCTAATATTATTAACCAAACAAATATATTGCTCAAGATAATCGCACCCTTGAACAAGAACAACTACAACACCAGAATAGTACAACAAAAATCTCACAAGTAATTTTCACTCTCTTGGCACTAAGACAAGTTTAGTGAAGAATAATAGAGAAGAATAGAGTAGAAAATTAAATAGTATAATTTTAATTTTGAAAGCTGGTGTTAAATTGAATGAGGAAAAACCCTCTATTTTTAGGAGAAGAGTTGGCTCATAAAGGAAATGATCAATGAAAATTTTAATGTTATAATAGATTAACCCTAGCCATTAATCGATTAGACACGCCAAATATAAAACGTTTTTGAATTACAATATCATTAATCGATTAAAGGATCCATTAATCGAATTATAGGTGTTATAAATGAGTTAATCGATTAAACCTAATATGCTAATTGATTGACTAATGTAAAAAACACTTCTAATTTATTAAACAAGTCAGTAATCAATTAAGTACGCGTATACATATATTTTTAGGCGTTTCAACAAACAAGAGAGGTTTCAAAACATATTTGAGTGTGTGTGAGCTTTATTAGTATCTTGATAATTAATCTTATAACTTTAGATTAAATTGATCACTCATATAAACACTATGCATAAAATCATGCGAGCTTTCACACTTTCTCTCTTTCACAACTTAGAAGTTACAAGTTCTTTTGCTTGATTCATGATTGATTTAACACTTCATTTGGAACTTGACTCATATAACTTATGATTCTTGAGAAAAGTTCTTTGATTAGATGCCATCATCATATATTGATGGAAGACTTCACTGAGCGCCGTTTGACTTTAGATTTTGTCATCATCAAAACTAGCACGATTATTTAAGGATTGCAGACATTTATACTTGCAAGCACATAGATCCGCAATGTTTTCTTTCAACAATGAATAATTTTTTCACCAAATTATCTTTTTTATGGTCATGCAAAATTATGTACAATTAATGGGTGCTTTCATAAAAACCACGAGTATATGTCTAAATCAATCAACACCCACATATAGAAAGTAATATAAATAAAGATAACAAACAACAAAACTAAAGTGGTGATTCAGGCTCACCCCCTTTTGGTAGATAGCCATTCTATAGTGCACAAGTGAGTCCCTATTAACTTGAACTTGAACCAAGTCTAAATTAGGGGGTCGAGATGAGGAGCAATACACTTATCCAGGAGTGTTCCTCAGAGACGTCCAATAAAATTTCTGAGCATAATCTGAGATAACGCCAGATCCTAGAGAAGCTAGCTTGGGAGATGCGACAACATGTTAGAAAGGTAAATACCATAATGAGTGAATAAAGAAACAATACATCACAACAAATAAAATATATCAATTTTGGATCTATGTGTTTACAAGTACAAAAGACTGCAACTGATGTGTTGATCATGGTGGTTTTGATGATGACACTATTTTTTGGTGGAATCCTGTTGTTTGATCCTTTGCTTGATCATGGTGGTCTCTGGTGGTATCTTTCCATCTATATCTCTTAATGATGATCATCCTAAAATTATCTCAAGTCTTATAAGGGAGAAGATTCAAGGTTCTAGGGTAGTGCTAATGTAAAAAAAATAATGTAGCAAGTAACCTGAAGCATCAAGGTTGTAAAAGAGAAAAAGTGTGAAAACTCATCTGGTAGGTCGTGCGCTTAGTGTAGTGTATGAGTGACTAGAGTATTGTAAAAGTGTTAGAGTAACACATAATTTACTAAGGCAACTCTCACACACACA